GCCAATTTGCAGCAGAACAGACCAGCGGAGGGAACTGTGTGCTAGTCACCTGAGTCAGTGAAGTGGGGAGAAGGGGGAAGAACATTTATATGGGGTGGTGGGAGTGATTTTCAAAACTAAACACCCACGTTAAGGTCACGCTAACAATGGAACGCAGGTAGCCACACACACATTCCTAGAGGACGATGGATGCAGAACAAATCACACACCTCTGTAACTAACCACACACATAAACAAACTGCTTGCTTTGCACTCGGCATCTTTGCATTTTTTGTGCGCCGCTGATCAAAACTGTGTCATCACAATAGGAAGGGGGATGATGACATCTGCATTTCCTGTTTTCCTGTTTGTTGTTTTGTTTCCTTTGTTTATGTCTGCTGCTACGTAACACCCAGGAGAGATGTAAAGATTTATCACATACGCCAAAAACATCGCACCTACACACACTTTTCTCTTCCCTCTCCTCCTCAGTTGGCTTTTTTTCATTCTTTACTTCATTGCTTTCATTCTTCATCCCTTCAATCTCTCACTTTCTCTCTCAACAGGGAGCAACAGAATCCACTACAGGCTCTCAAGTCTTTCTCCTCTGGGAATCTCCCATCTTTGACTCTTTTGAAGTGATGGGTTAACCCTCCTAAGAATGCTTAATGCAGCCCTGTGCATGTGTGTATCTGTTTCTGCCCCACATGTAAATGTAAGCACCTCACATTTGCCCTCCCACAAGAGTTGAACAAAGCACTGCTCCAAAATTCCTTCTCCAAACAACAGGCCCCTCTGCGCCTTAGCTAAGAGTTACAACTAAACAACACGCCGAAAACACAACAATAGAACAGCAACTCGAACATCCACAATGTCTGTGTCTGGATTTCACTGTACAGTTGCCTGGTTTGGTCTGGAGCAACTGAATGACATGAAAGTCCACAAAATTTTATTTTTTTCTTTCTTTTTGAATGTGTATATATATACAGGTGTATATCAATAAATTAGAATGTCGTGGAAAAGTTAATTTATTTCAGTAATTCAATTTGCTTGACAATCTTCATAAGGCTGCGGTTCTCTCGGTTGGTTGTGCATCTTTTTCTTCCATACTTTTTCCTTCCACTCAACTTTCTGTTAACATGCTTGGATACAGCACTCTGTGAACAGCCAGCTTCTTTGGAAATGAATGTTTGTGGCTTACCCTCCTTGTGAAGGGTGTCAATGATTGTCTTCTGGACAACTGTCAGATCAGCAGTCTTCTCTATGATTGTGTAGCCTAGTGAACCAAACTGAGAGACCAACTTTTGAGTTGATTCGCTGATTGGCATGTCACCATATTCTAATTTGTTGAGATAGTGAATTGGTGGGTTTTTGTTAAATGTGAGCCAAAATTATCACAATTAAAAGAACCAAAGACTTAAACTACTTCAGTCTGTGTGCATTGAATTTATTTAATACACGAGTTTCACAATTTGAGTTGAATTACTGAAATAAAAGAACTTTTCCACGACATTCTAATTTATTGAGATGCACCTGTACATTTCTAGCAAATATGAAATAAAAAAAATATTTGTAAAAATAAAAACTGACCATTCTTTTATGGTGAAGTCAGTGAAAACATTGGCAGGGCAAGTAAAAATAGTAGCAGCCCAACTGGATGGCAGAAAAAATTCTTATTGCCTATTTATTTTTGAGCCCTCAGTAGTATGTTTAATATTAAGAGTAGAATGTAATATGTGTGTATTTTGTTTTTAACTCCTGTTGCACTGAAAATCTGGTGTGGACAGGTCATTTATCTGACAGACCATAAAACCGCACACCTGACTCTCTTATTCTGCTTCATAAATACCTGTGTTGGCTATCAGTTTATAATCATTCAAACTGGCTTGAACAGGATCATCAACAGTTGGACTGAGATCAGACACCCAGGGTTCACTTTCACATATGGCCGTCTTCAAACAAATGCTACACTTTGTGTTGGTTCAAACCTACAATCACTTCAAACCAATGCCAACCGCTGACAGCCTCTCTACGGACGCCGGAGGCTACAAATGCTAGCAGCCGCTTTTGTGTCTGTCCTTCCCCCCCGTGCTGATTGTCTGTCTGTCCTTCTGCGTTAAAAGCCCACACAGTGCCGAGAGCTTTGAGCCAACATGGAGGCCAGTTTCCCACAGTGCAGGCTTGCAACAGGCACAGAGCTGGAAACTATGCGACTGGCATTTAGGGCCAAGCCGTCTGCTGCAGTGAGGTACTGAGACTAAATGCCACCTGCATATGCTGGAGGGAGAAAAAGACAGAAACAAAAGGCTTTCAGTGACAGGTGGAGAGTCTGTCTGCCAGTTTCCTGCAGATATAGTACTGCGGCATCTTATAGATCAAATGGGTTAAGATTTCTGGACATCTTTCACCCAAAGGACTTTAGGACTACCAATCAATTTCATCAGATCACCCTCGAGTCCTGCACTGCTGTGACTCAATCAATAGAGGCCAGTCTGTGCTGTTTGCTCTGTCAACCCACATATACACACCTGGTCATATAAATAAAGAGCCATATATATGTGTGTGCACGTCAGCTCAGACAGAGACAATTGTAGGGATGCAAAATGTAAGAAAATATAACCTAAGTATTCAATGACACAACATCTTGAAGCATAGTTTTTTTTGATGCACATCTAGGAATTTATTCCATAAATGTGTTGTAGTTTATGCATGTGCATTTTGGCGATTCCATTTGCATCTATTTCCATTTCACATTTTTGATTCAATTTCACAAAACAATTACATGACTGGAAACCCACCTACTGTATATAAGGAAATACAAACATTTCTATAGTGCTTATGCAAAACTGGTGCTGATCGGTTGAACAAGTTTGCATAAAAATACATTGATGGAAATCTGATTACTGATGTAAAACTTGAATATGTATAAGCAAATTAGACTCAAAAGCAATGGTGAACAGTGGATTTTCAGCAAATACTATCAAAACTATCATCACATGGCTTCAGAAGACTAGGAAGATTGCACATAAGCACGGGTGTCACAGTATACCAGTACTAACAATAAAAAAAAAATTGATTTCATGTTAATAATGCATAAATATAGCAAATAATCAAGCAGTAACTGGTTGACATTCCAACATAGTAGGTGGCAAGATTGCACCTTAATGCTGGTTGTCACCTGTCATAAAACGAAAAAAGATGGCGACGAAGACAAGGAAAAACAAGACAAACTACTGGTCACACAAAATGATGTCGGAGGAGAAGACAAACAAAAGTGACACTCTACCCTCACCTACAGCCAATTGAGCTTGCTAGTGCTGGAGTTGCTTAGATACATTTTTGGGAAGTGCCAATAAAAAGTAAGTTCTTTTTGAACAGTTGGTTACAACTTATGTTTAACTAATGGTTAGTTACGCTCTCTCTTCCTCCCTACATTGGTATTTTGAGTATGATCCATTATGCAAAAAGTAAAATTTGACTCTTTTTTTCTACAGATATCTGAATATTATTGTTTTTGCTTATCATTTTGGTTATGATAATCATACAGTGAAAATGCTATTTTGTGAAAGACCTACACAAGTCATATGGACCACTTTCACTGTGCTGTTCACAGACCCTGGCACTTTCTACTTTCATTGTATAGAAAAGAGTAGGTTGGACATTTTGTTTTGTTTTGTTTTCCACAAAATAAAGTAAGTCATACAACACAAGGGTAAACAAATGCTGACCGAATTTTAATTTTTAGGCAAAATAGCCCTCAATTCAACACCTTTTCGAAAGACCCTGCAGGCCCAAAATCTTGGGAGTGAGAGATACAGAGAGCAAAAAAGATCTCTTTAATAACAACCGCTCCTGAAACTCCATATACCAGTACAGACCCTAAACACACAAGTAAACATTCGCCTTTATCAACATCAATGGACTAACACACTCCATAAATCCTACACACTACAGATCAGCAGCTGCTTACCACAAACTCCATATAGTCCACCACACTAAACAAGAGCTAGACGCTGAGCTCTGCCAGAACAGCATGCTGGGATAAAAACGAGTATTAATAATAAATAACATAATAATACATAATTTAAGAACACACACAGGCCCTCGTGGGCAGTTTCAACTAAATAGCCTCAATCAGGTCAGAGTGTTGAGGTCAGTAACCTCCGGGGAAGCTGCTGCCCCCTGGCAGGGGTGTATATATAAATATAGCAGTTTATATTTTGATGGGGGTTTTAAGGTGCCGAGTGGTTGTGCCATGCTTTGCAGCAACAACTGCAATCAAGTGTTTGCAATAACTGGCAGATAACTGTTTGCGAGTCTTTCACAGCGCTGTGGAGGAATTTTTCTTCACTTTGTCAGACAGGTTCTATTTAAGTGATTTATTGATTCAAAAAGTCTGGCAGTAATCAGGTCTGAGTGTGGCTAGTGAAATTTAACTCTGCTTTCTAAAATAATGTGGTTAATTGCGGTTCTTTCATGATTTAACAGGAGGGGGCAATTCATTTTTCATTTAGGGCTACGTAGGTTTGGACAGCTTTTTTCCCTTAATAAATGAAATCATCATTTAAAAACTGCATTTTTTATTTACTTGCATTATCTTTGTGTAATATTAAAATGTGTTTGATGATCTGAATCTTTTAAGTGTGACAAACATGCAAAAAAATAAAAACACAGGAAGGGGGCAAAAACCTTTTCTCAGCACTGTATGTATATATATATATATATATATATATATATATATACACATAGCACTTTATATTTTGATGGAGGGTTTTAAGGTGCTGAGTGGTAATCCACTAAAAGTTGGGGTTCAACAGAGACCTACACAAGGCCGCACTGATAGTTAGGCCCTCTGAAAGAGCTATTGTTTGGGGTTTGAAAAATGTATACCAAGTACAACCTTTAAAAAACCTCCAACAACCTCATCTGTTATGGCCTGAGACAGGCGTTTGGGATTTGGTGTTATGAGTACACATTTTACAATGCTTCAAACACACTCACGTTCTCGTTCAAATACTCACCTCGTTGTGGATGTCCTCAATGTGCTGGAGGGTGGAGGGGAGGAGGGACTTCAGGCTCTTGGTGTTCTTCTCCGGGTCGGTGTGTAAATTCTCCAAGGCCTCTGAGCAGCGTTTCTGTATGTAGTCCAGCGTTCCTGTACAACACTAAAGGAACATGAAAACTAATAGTGTGATATTTACATATAAGCCAGAAATAGGGAGATACTGGTTGAGGATTTAACATGAAGGATGATGAAGTTAGAGGTCTGATCAGGACAATTGGAGAAACGACGCTCACCTGTACAACTCTGTGAGTGGAGCTAAATCTAGCCGTGTCACCAGCCAGTACACAGTGCTGATGTGTCCGATTCAGATCATCTATAGATATAATCACATACCAACAGCCACACACACAGACAACAGAAGAAACATACTCCAATATTATTAGGAACCTAGGAAGGGAGGATTTGTCTTGGCTATTCAGAGTTTATCTGTAGTTGTATATATGTATATTTATATAGCTGCCTGAGGTGTTGCAATTATAGCCATTAAGTGAACTGACTTTGCTAGAAAGGGACTTTGATTTGTCCCATTGAAATCAATGGATTTGCTGCACTCTCAGATGTACTGCAGCATAAACTGGAGTGAGCACAAGAGTAATGTCTGTTTCATTTCCTCTGTATGCTATTATTTTTTTTCTGTCACATTACACTGTCTTTAAACACTTGGCATCTAATAATACTCTGCTTCTGTCAACTTGGGCTCTCTGTCACAACCTCAGCGTGAATCATGGGCCACACCAAATTCCCCTAATAAATATTTATCATTATTCTCTCATCATCGAGGGGCTGCTGTGCTTGAGTTAAAAGCAGGTTTTTAAATGCATTGGGTTAAAACCTCTGCCTAGGTCTGTCCTGTCCCTGAAGCATTCAGCACAGTAAATCTTATTACCAGCTGGGTGTCAGTCCAACAATTTGTTCTCCGCTACCCAGCACCAAATTCCATTTTTGAGATTCCACTGATTAGATTTGCACACAGAAGTCTGAGACATCAGCAGATGGAGGGAAAGAGATGTGACAGTGTTAGAGAATCATGGGAATGTGGAGTTGAACAACTGTAAGTTATTTTCTGTACACCTTCCTTCCTCTCCCACTCTTTCTTTCTTCCTTGCATGCTTTCCTTTTCCTTCCTTTTTTACTTACCTTCCTTTTTTCATTTTTTCCTTCTCTTCTTTTCCTATTCCTTTTTTCTTTCCTAATACTTCCTTTACTTTCCTTTTCTCTCTTTAAATTCCTTTCACACCATTTTTACTTCCTAATACTTCCCTTACCTAATACTCCATTTTTCTTCCTTTTTTATTTCCTTCCTTTTCTCTTTCCCTTCCTTTCCTTTGTTCCTTTTCAACCCTCCTTTTCTCTTTTCTTTCCTTTTCCTTCCTTACTACTTTTCTCTTTTCATTCCTACTTTTCTCTTTTCCTACCTTGTCCTTCTTTCTTTTCTTGTTCCCTTGCTTTCTGTTTTGCTTTTCCTTACATCCTTTTCCCTTTTCGTTCTTGTGTTATGGATTGCTAAACTACAGGTTTTCCATCCTTCACCTTCTTTTTGTACCTGATTTTATTTTGTTCCTTCCTTTCCTATATATCCCCACACATATTATTTGAAAAGCACCTGATGTGAACTGCTACACTATATCTTCCTTCCTTCCCTCCATCTTTCCATGTGAGGTGTGGGTTGCTACACTACCGCACCCAAATAAAGGCTTGATCTTTAGGGAATGGTTTTGTTCACATCTCAGAGAATGGATGAAATCCCAACACATTCTACTGCCATCTAGACTTCACAAGACTTTAGAAGTCACTTCCTACAAATTCAACAGAAAACAATCGGACCAATTCAGCCAGAAGCAGTGTTGGGCAGTAACGCATTACTTAGTAGCGCGTTATTGTAATTTGATTACTTTTTTAGTAACGGAGTAATTTAACGCGTTATAATTTAGATAAATTATATTATAGATTATAATTTATTAAATTAGAGTATAGTTACAAGCCAAGGTCTCTATACGTTACTGCCGCGTTACATTGCTGACAGAATGCAGTGTTTTCTAATCTTGAGATTGTAAAAAGGATGTAGTACACGCACTGTCGAGTCAAGTGCCAGTGGATTAGAGACCTGCTCTCCTGCGAGACCCGACGCAACAGAGTGGGACAAGATGGACGAGTGCTGCTGCGGGCGGGTAGACGCTCGTGTGTGTGCGGGGATGCGGGAGAATAAAATGATTCACAGGACTCCCGCAAAATAGAAATATCTAAACATAAAATATCTAAAACAAATAAATTGTTATTCATCTATTGCACAAAAGCAACATGAACTAATATAAAATATAAACGATTAACAGGTGCAAGTGTATGCAGACTTTCTATTTAGGCTATAACACGTGTTTGCAGCGTTGAGCAATGCAGGGCTGAAATGTGTGTGCTCACGAATGCTCTCATTATAACACACGAATTGTAAACATTATGAAAGCTTAAGTATGCATATATTCATTGTGTTATAACAGATTTGTGAGATTGCGATGAACTGAGATGTCTTTTAGAGATTTTAAATGCAGCGCTCTTTGCTGGCATTCTGCCATGCCAAACCATGCACGCAGCAGCTGCTTGCTTTAGTTAAAAATAACAGTGTTCTGTGAATGTTGATGCTTTAATAACAAATATTTATCGGGAGCGTGTATGCTGGGATTTCATGAATTTCATGGAGAAAAAAGTAACGTAACTAGTAATGTAACTAATTACTATTGAAAAAGTAATCAGAACAGTAACGTGATTACTTTTAAAAGGAGTAATCAGTAATTTGATTACATTTTCAGAGTAACTTGCCCAACACTGGCCAGAAGACATGCTGTCATTAACAGTTTATAAGCCAGTTTCCAAGTCACACTTTTACCCTTTTCCTATGCCCAGGAAACCCATTATTATGACTCATTATGTTTATATTGTTTTATCTTTTCACTTAAAGTCACTTCACAGGACTAAGAGTGCCATTAGGTAGGTATAAATAATGCTTAGTTTAGAGCAGCCAGCAACAAAGAGGCCCGACCACTGGAAAGCCCTTCCAAACAAATGAAAATGTCCAAATGGAGATGATAAAACTGTGTGCACAGGGGGGAAAGCATTAGTCATGCTTCTACACAGAAATCGGGAAATAAATAGTGTCCTTATCAAGGTCATCAGACGCAATTTAAGGGATATTTAGAGGAGAGGGTTTGTGCGTATGTGGGGTTGTAGAAGGGGGGCATCTGTTGTAGCCATCAGTAATAAAAGTCTGATTTACTGATTCTCTCTCTCAGTCGTGCTCTCAGAGAGGGGTCACAGCGCTTCATAAAATAACATTTGGTTTCTTAACCTCTCTGATACACACGATAAAGAAACCTGTGGAAGCAAAATCCTAGGGAAACAGACACACATATGTTAATAAAAGGATGTAGATGTGTATATCCTCTGGGAAAGATAATTCCTGAACTAATGCATTTCAACATGACCGAGACGGTACAATCCGCTTTACACATGTACTTGAGGCTACTGTTTCTGGACACAGATGAATGTGATTGTGTACCTGTCATATAGTAGCAGTCTCCAGACTGGAGAGGCAAAGCCAGACCTGGTGTGTGGATGTCCCAGGCCACCTTCAGTCCAACACGCCAACAAGCCTTCTCTTTCTGCACTTCCTCCTTTTCCAATCCTTCTCTTTCTTTCTTTAGTTCTTCTTTACTTGTTCCTTCACCTTCTGTCTCTGTTTCTTTTTCTTTGTCTTTACTCTGTTCCTCCCCATCCTTTTCAGTCACCCCTGTAAGCAAAGATATTTATTTGTTATACTCAATGACCGTTGAATGGTCGATATTACATTTCTATGGTAACACTTTAGTTTAATGTGTCCTTATAGCAAGCTACAGTACATGTATTTACTATAGTAACAACAGTAAATCATACACAATTACAAGTAACTAACACTAAATCAAAACCTAACCCTAAACTTATTATAAGTGCATGTTGTTAATTCATATTACTCAGTACTTATTTGTGCAATTACACTGCAACAAGGATGCATTAAAATAAAGTGTGACCATTTCTATATTATTTATGCCTCAATAAAGAACAAAATATTTGTAATGCTACAAATGAATTTAGATATGACAACATTATAGTATACAGTATGAAAAATGGATATTCATTTTGAGATTTGCAATATCTTACATTATTCTAATACTGGTTGATAACCGATATATTGTGCATCCCTACTTATAATGGTATCAGCCAGTACGCAAGGAGTTTTAGACATCACTGCATTAATACCTTATGTTGGTTTTGTATACAATGCAGCAATTTAGTGTAATTACCTGAAGTTGCTGTTTCGAGAATCATAATAAGTGTACTGTTAGTCACTTTGGATGTCTTACTAATACTTAGTACTTACTAATATATGTTGTGCAACTTTCACCAACTATCTGTGTTAATCAAAAAAAAATTAAAAAATGACAGAGCCAAAGAGAAACATAGAAAGAAAGTGTAACTGATAAGACAAAAATAAATAAATAAATAAAATAAGAGAGGGCAGGCTGGCACCTATCAGTGAAATCAATACAAAAGCGCTTTTGGAAGCCCTGAGCAAGGCTTTCTCTGCGCTCAGCAGGGATAAACAGTAACTTAATTTCAGCCTGTGCTTTCTGACACAGCTCTCAAAGGGCCATCTGCAGCGGCGGAAAAGCTTTCTTCAAAATCACAGTGGCACAAACCAATGCCTGTTAGAAAAGGAAATGAGCTGGATCTAGTCAGTGTTGGATGAAGAGCTGAACAGATTTGTCACTGAGCGACTCCCCCCGCCGGAGACTGTTCGTGATACTGCGCGCCCCAGCATGCTCTATAAACCCATCACAGATGTGTTAAAAGATACGGGAATCATGAAAAGCTTCAGTGAGGTATTCTTCTTCAAAGCGTGTTCAGGTGAAACACGAATCTATACAACGCAGATGTTATCCGAAGGGACAATAAAAAAAATCAAACCCATTCATGCACACACACACAATAAATGATGTACAAAGTGAAATTCTTCTGAGCAACAATTCGTTTCAGCTGGTCTGCAGCATTTCATAGCGATTTCTCTAAAGTGAAGGCAACATTTTGTGTAATGCTCTGCACTGGTGCGTATGCACTGCAAAAGCATTCCAACAGGGGAGTCTCTCTGAAGTCTGGAACCGAGGGGTCAATTTTACCTCCAAAAGAACAGCTGTGGAATAATTCCACACAAACTGACACATTCACACACAAAAACACACACAGACCATTCATGCGTTGTTTGAAGCGGGCCCTGGGGAGGTCAAAGGTCAAATCGGTCAGTAAGAGATTGGCGAAACCGAGCTCGTGAGGCAGGTGGTTCTGGTTAGCACACCACGCTCTGTTCTGTCGAACTGACACACACACACGCACACAGCTGCATGCTAAGCTGTTAGCCTGACTTGAAGAGAGACTGATGTCCAGAAAAACGTCTCCAGTGAGATTCATGTGAAATATGGAAGATCTGGCTCCTTCTTCATGGAACAAGTTCATACAATGACTGCACGAACACATTCGACCTATCAAGTGAAGGATGGTTTTGAACTAGCTGGTGTCATAATAAATGTTTTAGGTTCTCAGCAGTAAGCTAGAAAAATAAAGGATTTGTTGTCTCTTCAATGAGAATGAAATAGGAGTGGGAATGTTTAAAGGGACAGTTAACCCAAAAATGAAAATTCTAACAATGCATTTCACACTTACGCAGAACAAAAATAATAATAATAATATAGTTTTGGTTGCCACGGACATTCAATGTATGGACAAAAACTGCTCTTCAAAATATCTCTTTTTGTGTTCCACAGAATAAAGAAAGTCATACAGGGTGAGTAAATGACGACAGAATTTGTATTTTTCAGTTAATTATCAGTTACAATTCTAAAATGTAATTCTATAATGTTTTATACAGTATATGCTTTTAAATAAGCAATAATTATTTATTAACAATTGAATTTTTGTCCAAAAAAAAAAAGCAATGCAGTTGAATAATTTGCTTTTCAACTCTTTATGGAAGGTATGTTTGAAGTGGGATATTTTCTTTTCATACAAATACGCACATTCAATAAACAATGCATGCAATAAATAAATAAATACATTTAATTGTTATGAAATAATAATGTTCCTGTTTCCTGTTCTCTGAAGTCCACCAGCGGACCTTGGCAAACATCCAGAGAGGTCCCAATAAGTCTTACAATTACATAAATGTAGGTATAATAAATATAATCTTATAAACACTGCCACAAGCAAACATAACAATGCAATTAGTAAAAACAAAACAAAAAAACACAGTATGTGAGAAGTCTGTCCTGATCTTTACGGGAGTCCCCATACTTTCTGGTCAAGACTTTAATTACTTTTTTTCCCCATTCGTTTGGCACTACTGGACAATGTTAATAATAATAATTCTAAACTTTAGATTGACCTGCTAATGTATAATTTAGTGAATGAAACTTGTTTAGCTGTGTGTTCAGTTTCTGCAGTTCAGTTTGTTGATGCTAGTGGTGCCAAAATTATTTACCTTTCAGATTTTTCCAAACCTGGAAATCACCAATTATGATTTGCGGTTTTCTATGACTGTGGAAACCCATGAAAATCTTTAATTGTTATGAAATAATAATTTTCCTGTTTCCTGTTCTCTGAAGTCCACCAGCGGACCTTATTTAAGATTATAATAATTATAATCTTAAATAAAAATGCTAAAACCCACTAAAAATAAAGATGTACAGTAAATAGTAAACTGCCATCATATTTTTAAGTTTATTTGTTTTCTTCCAACAGAATTACTAGAGGTACACATCAGCTTAGACAAGAGGGTTTTGAATATTGTCTTGGACAAAGTGAGGCCTTAGAGTCAAGAGGCTCAGAATCACAGTGTTAGAGCCCTGTGGGGTCATGGATCTGATACAATATTATATGCTCTACCCAAGACATTAGACCTCTCACCTTCATTCTTTGGCTCTGCTGGGCAGCTATAGCTGTAGACAGCAACTGGTGACAGAGGAACCAGGTTCTCGTCATGATGCCAACCCACCGCCATCTTGCCCATTCCATAATAGGGCTCTTCCTTCAGCTGGGTCATGGCTGTGGGGTCCATGTAGTTGATGAGGGTCATGTTAAACTGAACTAGGCCGGCCACATCAGGTGGCGGAGTGGATGAAGGAGGTGAGGAATGAGAGCAGCCCTGACCGCTGTCTTCTTCCTCTTCCTCCTTCTTCTCTTTCTCCTGCTTCTCCTCAAGTAACCTGTCCTTAACACTCTCTTCGCACATCCCCTCCCCTGGTGTGTCTTCACTGTTTTCGGTGTCACTGCGGGAACGCTTGACGCCTCTTGCATTTGTCTGTTGCGTCACATCTGAGCAAAAGAACTGATTGAGCTCCCACAATGCTTTGCAAGCGTCCCTCAGGTCGGAGTCACAGCAAGGTTTCTCTTTCTCATCTTTCTGGCCTTCTTCTCCCTCACAGTGCCATGGGATAGTGAACAGACGGGTGTCCAGATAACGGTATGTGTAGCCCGGCTGACCCACGAGAGCACGCGAAACAGCTGTGAAGACGTCCCGGTCTCGGACTCGGACAAGATCTCGGAGGAGACATCCACACCGCTGAAAAGTTATCAAAGCAGACTGCACTCTCTCATGGAGACCATCTGGCAGGGCACTAGACTGTCGTAAAGCCAGTCCTGCATAACTGGAGTCCCACTGTCAGATTACACAAAGATTGCACACAGATTACACACTGCCACAAGCAAACATAACAATGCAATTAGTAAAAACAAAACAAAAAAACACAGTATGTGAGAAGTCTGTCCTGATCTTTACGGGAGTCCCCATACTTTCTGGTCAAGACTTTAATTACTTTTTTTTTCCATTCGTTTGGCACTACTGGACAATGTTAATAATAATAATTCTAAACTTTAGATTGACCTGCTAATGTATCATTTAGTGAATGAAACTTGTTTAAAACAGCTGTGTGTTCAGTTTCTGCAGTTCAGTTTGTTGATGCTAGTGGTCCCAAAATTACTTACCTTTCAGATTTTTCCAAACCTGCAAAACACCAATTATGATTTGCGGTTTTCTATGACTGTGGAAACCCATGGAAATCTTTACATTATACACAACTGTCCAACATTTGGGGTCAGAAAGATTTTATGTTTTGAAATAAGTATCTTAAGCTCTTGCAGCACCAATGCTGCATTTATTTGACATTGATTGTAAAATATGATATTTAGAAATATTGAAATTTTATTCTATTTTATTACTTTGAAATGTAACTTAATCCTGTGACAACAAAGCTAAATTGTCAATAGCCTGCGTCACATGATCCTTCAGAGATCAATCTAATATTCTGATTTGATGCCCAATAAACATTTCTTATTATGTTGAAAACAGTTGTGCTGCCTAATATTTTTGTGGAAACCAAAACACTTTTATTTTTCAGGATTCTTTGATGAATATAAAGTTCAAAGGAACAGTTTATTTGAAATAGAAACCTTTTGTAACATTATAAATGTCTTTACTGTCACTTTTAATCAATTTAATAGATCCATGCTAAATATATATATATATATAACCTTTTGAACCTTGAACCTAACCTTTAGAACAGTAGAGTACATATAGATCGCAAATTATGATGCATTGTGGAGATTTGTATGAATTTCTAACCAGTTCCTGAAATCCTGGGTCTGCAGGAGAAAGGTAGGGAATCCTCTGCTCTCCCAGTTCCTGTATAAGCCTCCGCCTCTGTAGAGATGACAAAAACCACAATTACAAATAAATGAAGAATTTGATTTTTTTTATTCTTTAAAAAGCAGTGTATATTCAGTTTTCTCAGGACATAATCAGTATTTTCATGAAGCAGCATATTGGAAAGTCCATACTGGGCTTTATTATATTTCTATTCACACATCTACAAAACTGAAAAGCTCCAAAAGAGGAAAAATGCACACACTTTCACAAGGATCACTTCCCAGTCAGAGCACATTTCCCAGAACCCTCTGCTGCCATCCCATAGTGCTCCTGTTCACGGGCATCTCAGGTTTTTACGGCTCTAGAAGGCAGTAGAGGGTCTTCTCAAAGCCACATAAACTACGGCCTTCTAAGCGTCGCTCGTCTGTTAAAACTCAACCTGCTCTCCCCATCAAAGAGCGTTTCATTGGGCTGCATTCCATTCCAACCTGTAAATCCAACAGCAACCGGCGTAAAACTCCGATACCCAAATAAATTTCACAAGTGCACAAACTCCTGTCCCGTTTCCAACATACACGTCCTCTATTTCTTCACCACAGGTGCAAGAGAGACTGTTTTTTTTTACAACCCGCTCAGGTGGGATGGTGGGGGGTGTTACATCAGTGACCCCGATCCGGCACCCGCGCCCGATACCCCCATCAAGCAGTGCAGGTCCCTTAAGAACGTAGACGCACAGCAGAGACGTTAACGGAGAAAGAAGGCCATATATATGCCCTATATTCCCTGACATTTACGGAGACCGAGTTTCAGCCATGTTAATAATGGCAGTGTTTTCACATGGGAAGGGTTTTTTGTGAGTGCACCGAGCGGCTAGACTTTGCCCAAATGGGTCTTGACTTTTAGAGTAAAATATAATGTCCTGTTAAGAACATTAAAGTAAAGGCATTAAAAAGGTTACGTCCTGATTTAAGGACACAGGTGCACGTGCGAGAGTGTGCGGATGTGTTAGTGAGTGATAATAGGGCTGTATAACTGTTTAAGTTACTGGAAGGTTTTGCAATAATGGCATAAGGAGACTCTTGAGAAAAAGCTGCTCTGGAGGGTTCGGTTCAGGCCCAGTCTGGACTGGATTCTTCGGGTTATTTCCGTTAAACCAAAACAACAAAAAGAAAAAGGACAGGCAGACAGAAATCTACAAAACAAAATAACATGCACTATTCATGGACAGACTTGACTTAAAGGACTGAGAGAGACAAAAAGAAGGGAAGAATAAGGCAGAGGAAAAGGGCGAGAATGAGACAAAGTAGATGCAAAGAAGGAAGAGAGAGAGATAGACTGACAACTTGACACACACTCATTCTTGGTGTCAAAATTTATCTCATGACAGAAGCGATGGGTATTTAAAAAAAGGCCAGTGGATTTGTGTGTTTGTGTGTATTTTTTTTTCTGCCGGTGGCAACGCTTGGCTGCTCTGATGTGCAAACACAATCCCATGCACACACACAGAGCTGGTCTGGACAGTGCAGTTTTGTGGGCTAGTCTTGAGGAGCAGTGGCCTGTCACGCATATGTCAAATACATCAAGCCGCTCACAAATTCCAAAGAAAAAAGAGACAGACCTATTCTACTCCGCAGATGAGCCTAAGCGAGCGCTCTTTTCACTCTCACATAACATACACACACATAAATAAAGGAAAAAGAGGTTGCATTCAAACACACAAACAATCACTCAAACCAAACTAACAGCTCTCCTCTTACATAAGAGATGCCAGTCAGTCAAAGATAAACACATATATTTTTGACTTTTAGTTCTAAGCACTGGAAGTGCCCTGTTGTACGAATATAAAATGTGGTTTTGCATTACTGTGTCCGAATAAACCTCACGAGGCAACATAGTTACCTTTAAATGTCTGTGCCAGTACGCCCAATGTAATTATAATGATTTAAGTGTTTGCACAAATAATTTTAAAAGAAAAATAAACCCCTACAGATTCTATGGGGTATACATTTTTTTTTACAAAAAAAAAAAAAAAACTTAGAAAAAGCTGGAACGAAGTAAAACAAGAAGCAAAAAAAATAAAATTAAAAAATTAAAAAAAATCAATAGTGTAAAAACATAAAAATATTTATAAATATAAAAATATGCTGCTTAAAAAAAATTATATGATGCAGCCAGTGAAAATGGGCAGATCAAGTACAAATCCAAGCAACTAACAAATACATAAATATACTGTATGTGTGTGTGTGTATATATATATATATATATAAAATTTGAATTACATAATATAATTATGTTGTTTTTTTTTTAAATAAAAAAATAAAAAGCACTAGTTTTCATGGGGTGTACTAAATTTTGTACAGCACTAAAAATTATCGTTCTTGCAATTAAAAAAAAAAGCTTGGAAAAAATCGACTAGAAAGGGTTAAAAAAGTAAACTTGTAAATAAAAGTGGTAAATTGTTAAAGATTGAAGAAAATTTTACATTTAATGTAAAATTTAAAATATATAAAAAAGGTAATATAAAAATATGCTGCTAAAAGAAATAATTTCAATGGTGCAGCCAATGAAACACTAGCAGAGCAAACACAAATCTGAGCGACTGATGAGCAGGGGGAAAAAATCCTTACAGTTTAAATGTGTGAGTGTTTGCCAACACATCTGAGAGTTTCAATTTGTGTACGTGTGTCTGGAGGTATTGAGATCCATGTGTGTAATAGAGCCCCATGTTTGGCGAGTACACAGTTGGAGCTTGTGTGTCACTTACTGAGCTTCTTTTCTCCTGCTGAATCAAGCACTCCGACAGCTCACCTGTACAACATCAAACACAAACATGGTGGTGGACACACACATCAAACACACTTCCTCCACATCTCCTATTTGTCGGAGAGTTGCGGAATGTGTTCTGTGGGTGACGGCGGTACAGGCAGACAGAAGCAGGAGGAAGAGCAGGGGATGTCCCTCCTTGAAGAGAAGGGAATGAGAAAACGGACACACCTGAACAAACAGAGCCGTTTACCTCATGCTGAAGGCTTGTGTGTGACTGCATCAAACCTGCCTGTGAGAACACACCACATCGGTGTCATGACACACGCTCGTGGACCCGGCTCAAACACACTCACAACCGTGCTAAAGTGGAAATGTAGTCAGAGTGTCAGCATCTCCAAGTAAAAGGAAAGAATTTCCATCATGTTAAAAAGATGTGAACACCACAGAGGAGGTTCAGCTGACAGTCAGACGATCCAATGCGGCAAACTCACGGTTAGCTCATCTCAAACAGGACAGTCCTATGGAAACCGACACTACATTACTGACCATTCAGATCTAACTGACTAAAGTGAGGCTCAATGAAAAGTCTGATGGATCAGAGTCTGAGGAACTCCAAGTTCACTTTGGTTCTGAGCCTTCACCGCAGAAGCTCTGGATCTGATATGGAAATTTTCCAGAACAACATGGCAATTCCCATTAGAGTGCTGCAGGAATAACTCCGAAAACCTGGAAACTAATTACCATTTTTTTGAACTTCCCGTTCCATTTTTGAATGGGTTCTTGGTAAAATCCCTGAAATAAACACAGTTGTTAACACAAGCACAAGATATTACCACAACATAAAATACATTAGTAATACCCCACTCGTTACTTTTTTAAGCTTTTACATATATTTAAAGGGCAGTTGCTACATGGCTAAATGAGACTTCAGAGGTTGTCAGTGAGAGTAAACTTCACACAGAGCAGGAAAACTTATCTACTCAATATAGTCCGCTTTTGCACCAATGCTGTGTTTATACTCGACAAACAACATTTATACACGCCTGTATATTTAATAAATAAATAAAACGTTGTTGGAAGCTTAGGGGTGACTGTTGATGAAGTTACTTCTGGTGATTGTATTTAAGCTTCAAAATGTAAAATATTTGTGTGAAAATTGGAATAAGTCGGTGGTTGCCAGGGTGCTACTATGTGTTTTGTTTTCTAGTGGCTCTCTGATGCTTGAAAATTATATGCCATATATGTTTGCGGGAGCGGTCGGGACTGGACACAAAAATCTCAGGAGCGGGCGGTAATGGTCAGAAATTCAGCGGGAGCGGGATTAAGAAAACCGATTTCGAAATACTTCCACACAAATGACATGTTCGCGAATTATTCCAGTGTAGTCTCTGTACACTAGGGCGCACTTCCGGAAAAATCGGCCGAAAAAAGACAAAAGGTTCCGATTTATGGCCGGTCAACCGGTGCATCCCTAGTTCTGAATGGAACCATATTTATTTCTATATAGTCAGGTTAAGGCTACTGGTATAGTGGTCTGTTGGCATCTCCATGTGGTCTTGTTTGGTATTGCAGCTTGACTTGTAGTTATAGAAAATGTGACATTTATTTTTTTCTCAGTTTTTGCTGTTGCACTTTATACATAAATTGTGAACTATGAAAATGTACAAAAAAAGTAATTAATTTAAAAGTAAGTAATTTTAATTTATCTTGAAAAATTATTGCAGAAAATATAGTTTTGTGAGAATCATCCTCAAACTTGAACTTGGTAAAAATTATCCTTATTTAAAATCTTTCAAGTCTTAATATTTTCCCTTTTTTTATACTGGGATAAATCATACTAGGATGTATGCTAAAATTTCCCTACCTAGAAATGTTCCAGCAGCCACCACTGGCAGTAATAAACCTGAAAGTTACAAAGAGCACTTTGTTACCTTTAATAAAAAAATGTCTCTAGTTACTCATGTAACCTCAGTTCCCTGAGGTGAGGGAATGAGATACTGTATTTGCTAATGCTTATGGGGGAAACCCTTCCTCCAAATACTACTGAAGCCTTATTGAATCACACCAGTAACACTGGCCAATGGCGTTCAAGTGCGCAAAATATGAGGTGCTCCCCTCTCTATATAAGGCAACACTTTTACGTCATTCATTCAGAATCTTGACTGAAGCAACTAGGTGACACGGCAGTGAGTGCATTGTCTCATTCAGTCATCTCAGGGAACCGAGGTTACATGAGTAACCGGAGACATCCCTTTCGATTTGTTCACTTTGACATTGCATTTGCTAAT